TATATCAATTTTGAAAGAGATATATTTTTGAAAAAAGATTTTTACACTTACATTGCATAAACTTTTCTTCTTCTTCTTTTTCATATTGAAACTTTGATTGATTGAACTAAACTTGTAAAATCATTATATTCATCAAAATCTTTCATCTAACACTTGAGCTATCATTTATTACTATTCATTGAAGTGTTAGCCTTTCTTAGTACTTAATTTGTTTGTATTATTTATCAAGAGAGGATTTTCATTCTAAAATCAATTTGATAAAGTATGGGTCGTGTTGAAATCCCTTAAAGATCAACATTGTATAAGGATCGGTGCTCCTTGTTGTAAGTCATCGTGTGGGTTATATTGAGGTCCCGTAAAACTCAATAGAGTGGGTCGTGTTGAGGTCCCGTAAAGCTCAATATTGTATGATGATCGGTGTTCCTTGTTTGTAAGTCACTGGAAACGTTGTAAAATGTTGGATTGCACTATAAGTCAATCAACATAGTGAAAAGGCCTCGTTCGTGCTGGAGAGCTTGGTAACGAGGGACGTAGATAATTACTTTGGATCGAACTCCACAAATATATCGTTTGCATCCTCTTTCCCTTTGACTTATTGCTTTTATATTTGTGCTTACTATTTGAATTAATCTATTTAGCCTTTACTTGCTGAATTTAGATTAATTATTCGAAAAAGTTTTAAAAACCAATTTACCCCCCTCTTGGTTAGTTATTATTGGGCTAACACATGAGACTTCACCAAAAGAAGCCAAAGATAATTTATATAAACTATCACATAAGAGGTCATTTCCAATCAAATGAGAATCATAAAACAATTCAACTATTCCATTACCAAAGTTAAAGGAAAAACCAGAAGCATCAAGTTTCGATATAGAAATTAAATTTTGTCACATTGTCGGTATAAAAACAGTATTCTCTAAAATAAGAGAGAAACCATATTCCAAGGATAATTTCACTACTCTTATGAACTCAACCTTCACTTGAACTCTATTCCCAACGTACATGCTTACTTCATTCTCACTTGGCCTCCTTTTGCTTGTGAACCTCTACAAGGAATTCACAATATGAATACTGGCTCTCAAGTCAAACACCAAGAATTCAAAGGAACATCTACAAAAGAATATTCAAAACAAAATAAGGCCAAGGAGATACCTGCAGAACTCTTCTTCTTCTCCAACCAAGTCTTAAACTTAAAACAATATTTCTGCCATTGACCCTTCTTTTTGCAGAACTTGCATTGATCATTTTTCCTTATAGTTCCTTTGTGACCACCAGAAGTCTGACCTCCAAAATTTTTATTATANTCCTTTGGGACCACCAGAAGTCTGACCTCCAAAATTTTTATTCTAATCATTGCAGTGTGACTTGATTTCCTTGCAAAACTTAAACTTATGGTTATGAGAAGACCCATTGTTTTATTGTGGCTAAAAAGCTAATTGTATAGTTTTGATACTTTCACTCCTCAACCTATACTCCTCTAGGGCACACACAACAATATGATATTTCAAATCCCATTTATCTCTTTGAGCATTATAAGCGACTTTTAGCTAATTAAACTGGTTCGAAAGGCTATTGAGAACATGATAGATCAAAAAATGCTCAACAATGGAAATCTTAAGAGCCTTTAATTTTAAAGATATATTAATCATTTTCATAACATGCTCCCGAACACCACTTATAACATCATATCTCATATTCATCAGTTTGTCCAT